TAAGTCAGGAAGAAAATGCATTTACAATTGTGGGAAATTGTTCTGCTTGAATAAGGGATTAGAGACAAAGGTAGTTAGTTTTAGTAAAGGAAAGGGATATGCTGAGAAAGGAAGAATGCTATCTCATTCAAATACAATAACATTGATGGATATAGCAATGTGTGCCTATCTACTTAATTTGTTTCTTCTAAGCATCTCTACATGTTAACACAAATTTGCTACTTCCAGAAGGCTGCTGACAGCTTGATGGTTGATGTTGTATATGTATTTTTTTAATCTAGGCTCTTGCTTGCTTGATAGATTTATTTTTTCCAGAAAAGAATCAAAATATTCAGCATTTTTCCCTCTCATAAGACAGTCATGTTTCAGTAACAAGAGCTACAACTTTATTAATGTATGCAAATGAAATTAAAGTGTGGCACTTGGGGATTCAACTGAAGAACAAGTGAAGCCCACCTGATGTGATTAAGTTTTCCTTAGACTAGCCTTGCATTGATGTAGGCAGCATGTCCATATATGTGTTTAACTAGTTTCCAGTTTGTGAAAAAAGCCCCTCCCATCTACATTTCCCTCTCAAAACCACACAGGATCAGACATGTCAAACATGCGACGCCACGTGATGTCGCACAATGTATCGGAGCTTTTTGCCATTGCCGGCAATGGGGTGGAGGCAGCTCCGGTATGATGAAACCGGCCCATGGGCTGGCAGTTTGACACCCCTGATTTAGATGGTCCCAGCAAGTATCAAAACAGTACATTTCTTTTCCAAAGACATTTTTAGAAAATTTATTTACTTATGTATCGTAGATTGCTGTCTTGCTCTCTTTCTTGCCCCACCTTGTCAATGTGAATTCCTGTTGGTGGTTTTACATTGATCCATCCCAGGGGTCCCCATGCTTTATTCAAAATAGAAGAAAAGTAAAACTGTAGTAACCAAAATAAAATCAAAGCAGGAGGTAAGAGAGAAAAGAAATTCTGATTCAGGTTTGCACTTGATTTAATATTGTTGTACCTTTTTATATCTTGTTATTCTTGCAAATGTTTCCAACACACCCATTATATGCTGCCTTTTATTCCTTAAACTTCTTATGTCTCTCTTTTGGAGTAAAATTCCATCCAATTAAATACTTTTCTCATTCATTCATCATCCATTGAGTACCTGTTCTTTTTTTCCTTTTTTTCTTTTTTTTTTAAATTATTTTCTTTTTCATCATACACCATACCCCAAAACAAACTTAAAATTCATAAACCTAAATCTTTTCTTTTAACAGAACAGTGCTGTACATTTTAACCATTCTTTACATCTTATTTACATTTTATTTACATCATTAATTATATCTTTTTCTTTCTCTGTTCTAGCCAATTATAACATTTATTCCAAATTTCATAAAATTATGTCGCCTCCTTGTCTTTTAATTCTAGTGTAAGTTTATTCATTTCTGCGCATTCCAAGATTTTATACATAATCATGTCATTTGTGGGTGTATTTTCACTCTTCCAACATTGAGCATATGCTATCCACGCTGCAGTCAATATGTGTATAATGATGTGTTGGAGTTGTTTTTCAATCTTTAAATTTATTATGCCCAAAAGAAATAATTCCGGTTTGAAGTCCATTTGTACCTCAGTTATCTCCTGTATCCAATCTCTTATTCCTTCCCAATAGTTTTTTGCTTTAGGGCACAGCCACCACATATGATAAAATGTTCCTTCTCTGATTTTACATTTCCAGCACTTCGCATCCATATTTTTATGCATTTTGGCCAATCTCGCCGGTATTAAATGCCATCTATAAATCATTTTATATTGATTCTCCCTGTATGCAGTTGATAGCGTCAATTTGCAATTTATATTCCATAATCTTTCCCATTCCTCTAAATTTATATTTCGCCCCACATTTTGTGCCCACGCTATCATCGGCCCCTTCATTATTTCTTCCTCTAACTCTATCTCTAATAAATATTTATAAATTTTTGATAATAATTTTCCTTCCTTATTTATTAGAATTTTATCAAGTTGATGTGGGGTCTGACTTATTCCATATTCTTGCCTATCCCTATTATATCTAGATTGAATTTGTAAATACAGCCACCAGTCTATGGGTATTCTTTGTTCCTCCAACTCTTCTCTTGACTTAAGATTTCCTCGGTTATCTAGTAAGTCTTTGTACCTAATCATCTTTTTTCTCTCTAATGTATTGGGTGAATCACTGCCTCCATTGGCGAAAACCAATTTGGAATTTTCCCATAGAGTCTTTTTTTATTTTTTCCCATATCCCGATCAATGCTCCTCTTATCTGATGTTGCTGGAAATATGCATATGTTTTCTTCTGTTTCCTCCATAGGAATGCATGCCAGCCCGTCTGTAAATCATGTCCCTCAATCATTAGTATCCTTTCGTTATCCAAGTTTATCCAGTTTTTGATCCATTATAACCGTGCTGCATAATAATAAATTTCCCATTTAGGGAGTCCAAGACCACCTCTACTCTTACTATCTTGTAGCATTTTCATATTTATCCTGGCTTTTTTGACCACCCAAATAAATTTATTTATTGCTTTATCCAATTCTTTAAAAAAAGTTTTCTCTAATTTTATTGGAATTGTTTGGAATAAATACAATAATCTTGGTAATATATTCATTTTAGTCAATGCAATCCTGCCTGATAGTGATAATTGGAGTTTCCCCCAGGTCTCAAGATCTTGTTTCATTTTTAGTATCAATTTTGTATAATTGTCTTCTTTTATTGAGGTTAACCAAATTCCTAAGTATTTAATCTTTTTCGCTACTTGTAATTCCAAATTCTCTTCCAGTTTCCTTTTTTGTTTATCGGTTAAATTTTTTACTAACATTTTAGTCTTTTCTCTATTAATTTTTAATCCTGCCACTATTCCATATTTTTCTATTTCACCCATCAAAATATTTCTTCTCTCTATAGGTTCCTCAATGAAGAAAGAGTACCTGTTCTTATGGCATTTAATTTCCTATTATATTTCTTCTAATTTGCAAACACATATACTCATCACATGCAAACTCATATACCTTATATACGGGTAACAAACTGAGTAAAAGTATGTTCTTACATTTAACATTTTTTGCTTCTTTTGCAAACATTCTTTTTCTTTCTTCACAGTTGTATGAACATTTGCAAGTTTTAACAATTCTCCATCATTTTTCATATATTTAGTAAATATTCTTTTTGGATAACTACTGTATGTCTTCATGCTAATTTTTTTTCACTAAAGCTAAGTTTTACTCCATAAATTACTTCACACATTATGGAACTTAGGATCATTCGTAACTGCCTCACAAGCCAAAATACCATTCTAGGTATCCCATCAACAAGTTACTTACAGGATCCATTTCTGTTTCTTAAGACATAGATATTCGCATCGCTTGACAATATTTGTGTAGTCAGTCATTCACTTGCAAGATTATTCTGTTCTCTTCATGGCTTCCACTTGAGTCCCCAGAGCTTGAACTTCTTTCAGAATCTGTGATACTACAACCTATAGTATAATAATAATAGCCACTGTTTTACAGTAGTTTGTCTTTCCCCTCTCATGTATTAACAAGAAGAAATAATCAACGGACTTGTCTTAGAAGTTACTCTGCCATGTCCATGATCCTATTCCATTTCATTTCCCCTATTTTTTATTTTGTGTGAGAGCCTGAAAACTCTTTCTGAATTCCAGTAATGTAGAAGATAATACATTTTTTTTTTTTTTGCTTCTGCTTGTTATCTTTTTCTGTTGGGTTTGCCTGGTGGAGTGTCTTATTGAAAGTTGCTTTCATTGTCAGCTGTATGACTTCCTTTCTTTGAACTGATAAATCTTCATTCTCTCTGATCAGTAGAAGTGGCTGTTTGCTGCTTCAATACATCAACTTTTTCTTCAAGGGCTGCCACTAGTTTACAGCTACTGCAAGAATGTATGTTATTTTTTTCTCATGCAGGAAGGCAAAAATGCCAGAAGTATTCTAGGTTACCACTGTTGACTCCTGCCATCCATTTTTGAAGTGCTTATGTTATTTACTGGCTATCCATCTCTATAACATGCTTTCTCATTTTTAAGGTCCTTTCATGTTTCCTAACATTTCTTACCAGTCATATTTAAAATTATTAAACCCTGATGTGAATAAAAGAGTTTTTAATTTATTATGGATAAGAAAGAGAATTAGTATTTCTGGTGTCAGCTACTTTTGAGTAAACTAAAAGTCAACTAGAAGATTAGAAGTTAGTCTAGTTAGTGCAGAATCTGAAAGGTGACATGAAAGGAATGAAGAACATGTAAGCATAACAATTCAAATTTATTTGTATTATATGTTCTTCTTCACAGTACTATTTCATCACAGTACAATCTTTACAGTTTCCTTCCTTTTTTGTACAGCCATTGCATGGTTAATATAAGGTTTATGCGCAATCAAAGCTTATTTCAGTAAAGTGTTTTGCAATGTTTAAGATTACTTTCAATAGGTGGAGAATTACAAAACTTCAGGGCAGTAGAATAATGAAGTAGCTAACCATTCCTGCAAAGTTTTGTTTGTTTGTTTCTAAATGTAAAAAAAATCCAATGTATTCTTACTTAGCAACAGTGGAAAACAGTGCAAAAAACAAGAGGGAGGGAGGGAGGGAGAGAGAGAGAGAGAGAGAGAGAGAGAGAGAGAGAGAGAGAGATGTTTTGGGGATATGGTCAAACTGCTTCAGTCTTACTTCTTTTTTAAAAAAAAGTCAATTGACCTTGTTTTATACAAAGGAGAAGGTATAATAATGCTAAGGTGAAAGACTATCTCCATTAAAAAGTCAAAAAGACCAAGGGCACTTATCTCTGAACAAATTAACAAAAACAGATAACACTGATGAAGTCATTATCTCAGCCTAATCACATTTTAATGTATTGGATGGTCAGTGATGTCCTTTTTTATTGAAAAAGTCTATTAACTAAGAAGCTATTGCATAGAATATTTGCATTTTCTAATTCTTAATGCATTTTCTATTAACAGATACAGAAGTGATATATAAAAACAGGAATGGACATGTTATTAAACTGAATGTAAAAACAAATACAACTACATTATTGCTGGAAAATGCAACTTTTGTAAGTATTCTTAATTTTTAATAAGAAATTACATTGCTCTTTTTTTCTGAATCTATTTGCAAGAGTTATTTCAAATCTACCTCATATATAATTTTGAATGTGGCATGTTAACTATGGCATGTTCTTGCCTGCTTTATGGAGTCACAGATAAACAAAACAAGAGACCATGAGACCAGCAAGACTGATTGATATTGATTGGTAGTACAGATACATACTCTCATTATTGAAAAATCAATTGATTATTTATAACATGTGGGTTACTGAATAAAAAATGTTTATGGCATGCCATTCTTTAATTGAATTATATCTATTTATTTTTTCCATTTTTGGTAAGAAGTGTTATTTAACTGTAAAATGCAAATTTTAAAAAGGACAAATAAGAATGTCATGTAAAACAGAATCTTTATTGGTTATGATTGTACTTGTAAATTTTAGCAAATAAAATCTTCAACATTTATAAAATCTGTTCAGAAGTCAATCTGATTTTTCTCTGAAGGTAGTCAGATAGCATCTTTTCCAGCTAACAAATGTTATTAAAAAGTATAAATTTAATAAGCTGCAGTTCATGTTGCAGGGGACAGTGTCTGCTTCTTTTCTATCACTCACTTCAATTCTATGAATTGTAATTGTTGAAAGATTTAACCTGGAATTAGTGAAATAAAAGTTGGGACATAATGATTTGATAAGCAGTAAGTATAGAATTAGTTTGTGTTCAATATAGAACTACTTGAATGTGTATAACTAGTTTATTCATTATGATTTAAAGAAAATTGTGTCACTGGAATCTGTGAAAACAAGAAAATTAAAGGTAGAAAAGGAAAAGGATCTGCTTTGTAGTGATGTTATATCATTCTCCGCTTGTCACTGTCAATTAGAGAATTAAATCCCAATCATGAAAACTTTTTTTTTCAAAAAAGCAAGATTTATTGCTATTCATTTAATAGTTGTATATAATATACAGGAGCCATAGTGGCACAGTGGTTAAAATAAAGTATTACAGGCAAACTGCCCACAGCTAGAAGTTCGATCCTGACCGGCTGAAGGTTGACTCAGTCTTCCATCCTTCCGAGGTTGGTAAAATGAGGATCCAGATTGTTGGGGGCACCACTTACAGGGCTGTAAAGCACTATGGAGTGATATATAAGTCTAAGTGCTAATGCTATTACAAGTGCTATAATATTATAATTAATCAAACAGAAAGACTCAATTCACCCAAGTTATCCTCTCTTTTAAAGCACATAATAGCTTCTTAATTCATCAATATGGATTATAAAGCTAAAGATACACAACTTTTTATTGGTTGTTTTTGCATTTTTATGATGATAAAATATAATGATTTAACTCTATCAAACTAATACTTTTTATGCTATTATTTTGTGGGCTATAAAGTATCATGTTAAAAATCGAAAATCGAAAAACAAGCTACAAAACAATATAATTGTAAAAGAAGGAAACATATTTACCCAAGACATTTCCTGTCAGAAGCAGATTTCATTAATCCATTATTCCAGAAAAATTATCCTGCATTTTACTTTCCAGCTCTTTCAATTTTATGGAATTTGGTTTTGACATTATCTTCAAATTAGAAAAGAAATTTACAGATTTTTGGGGAGTGATTGTCCTTCTTTCACTGTACACTTATCTTGGCTTCCATGCTTCAATTCAGTTCAAAGAGGACATACAGAGTTCATCCCATGGAAATTTCTCAGATTGGGCAGCTTCTGTGTATGAAACATTATGATAACATTTGAGATATTCCAGAGAATTCTGCATTATTGCAAAATGATTTAAAAAGTGACCATAGATTAAACTATATCATATGCAGTATTAGGTTAACATACAGTTCTCTTAGTTTTTGTTTCATTTAATTTTAGTAGATATTATTTAGAAAAGCAGAGCAATATTAGCACTATAAAAACACAGCAATTTGTTAACTAATATTTGTATTTTCTCCTAATATTTAAATTGTTCTTTGTTTAATATCCCAAATATTATTACAGTACTACCAATTTATGTCTCATTATTTAATTTGTGAAAGATTTTAAACTGAATTAAACTTAGACTTCTCTGAAGCTCAGTTGGAGTGAGAATATAATCTGTAGTCCTTGGTTTACAACTATTCGCTTAATGATAATTCACAGCCTCTAGAAAAAGTGACTTAAAAGTGAAGAAATTACTTAAGACTTGCCTTCACACTAATTGGATAATGTGAGATATTGTAGCATTGTACCACCCCTCACTATTATGACATTGCAGTTCAGGAGCTTGGCAACTGGCTTGCATTACAACTGGTTGCAATGTTCTGTGGAACATAATTGTGACATATATATATATATATATATATATATATATATATATATATATATATATATATATATTTGAAATCCTCATTGAGGAAGTTGGATTTGCCTAATTACCACGTGACTCATTTATCAACCATGGTAAAAATTGTTATAAAATTGGGTCTGATTCAAATTATGATCACAACAACTTGTGAAAGAAATTCCAGTTCCATTTGTGGTTGTAATTCAAGGACTACCTGTAATTTTATTCATGCATTTCTTTTAAATTTATACCTTTAAAATTCTGAACATAATTGACACAAATTTGGTAAGGTAGCTCGGATAAAAATTGTGTATTAATGATTTATTGGGTGATAGTAAACAAAGAATCTGAGATAATAACCAAAGAATCTGTTTGGGAATACATTGTGTACCATTTGCAGTGAATATGATCTGGGTGCAAAATTACTCAGATCAGAGACATACATAAGAGTGGGTAAGTATAGAAAGAGAAAGTAGATTATTTTAGGGGCCAAGAATGGGTCAGAATGTTGATTGCTTGATAGGTCTCTGCTTGGAAAAGAATTGCTTGTTTTGAATACATGATTAAAATTTAATTCTATTAAAAAATAATTCTGTTCAAAAGATAAAGTAATGAATTTAAATGCTAAATATGACTGATTTGATTGTTTAAGATGAAAGATTAAAAGAATTTTTGAAGAATGCAAAGGTGATGACAGATTCTGAATGTGGGTCAGAACATAATTTGTGGGTAGGGATTACATCTTGCTAAGAATTGGACAAAGTGATTGTTATTGTTCTCCTATTCAAAAGGCAAGGTAGCAAAAGTGAATTTAAAAATTACATGTAGCTCTCTCTCACACACACACACACCAAGGGGCTGATGATGATCAGGCCCTTTTGTCCCTCTGACTAGCTTGTCTGGCCCAAACACACTGACACATCTTGTGGGATTTGTGAGGTTTTAGCTAAGATAACAGTCCTCTCTAGTCAAAGGTGATGAACCGGGACACTGTTGCTGGATCTGGAAGTCAGCTATTTTTTGAGTTCTGCTGCTGGATTTGAATTGTCACTTCACTTCACATGTCACAGCATTTCTCTCCTTCAGAACAACACTGTCTCTCCCCTCAGTCCTTACTTTCCTGCCTTTTTCCAGTCTCTCCTCACAGTTTTGTCTCCTCCTTTTCCCCCTTGAGCTGCTGGGACTTGTAGTTCTGCTCCCCTACACTTTAATGCAGGTCCAAGTCCCCCCCCCATTTAGAATTCAAAAGAAGAGGTTCCACCCACCAACCAATCAGGTAACACCAGCTAACTGACTTATCAAAGATTGGCTGTTTGTAGTTGATCACAAAAGTTCTTATCCAGATTGAAGAGCCTGGGAATTTGGATAAATGTGCCCAGGGGAGGTGCCTGGCAGAATTCTTATGGAAAAGATGTAAGAAATGATAGTGAACCAAAAATGTGTGGTGCAATGTAGCTGTATTTTGGGCAGGAATTGGGCAATTAAATCTTTTCCTTTCAATAGGAGATTAAACATTAAATGAATGTAAGAAATAAAAATTACTATACATTTGGAGATTTGGTGAAAGTGTATGTTAAAGTGAATAGACTTGAAGGGTCAAATATTCTATACAAATTGAGAATTGAAAGTTGCTCACTGATTGTTATAAGAGTGGTATATGGTGAAATAAAGTAGGCATGGGAATGAGTGGAATGTTTTACTATTAACAGGGTGTAAGTCAGGGGCATCCCCTTGGTTATTTAATGTATATATGGACAAATCCATAAGAATTTTTGTATACAAGGTTTGTTGGTTGTGATTATGAAGCTTTATCTACTTGAAGAATCTCCTGCAAATGCTACATAGAATGTATGGTAGCTAAAGAATGAGGTCTAAACATCAATATATCAAAGACTGAGGTAATTGTGTTTGACATGAAAGTTCTATAAAAAAAATTGCAAGTTATAAAGCATGCCAGAAAGATAGAGCAAGTAGTGAGTTTGTACACAATGACAGAGATTTTACTTGGATGGGAAAATGGAGACATTTTATGATGTACAAATGCTGATAAATTATGGTTCATTGTATGGTTGATTTGCAGATTTGTGTCTAATAAAAATGCACACTATGGTGTAGAAAAAGAAGTCTAGCTAAATTGGATAAGCTAAAATGAAAACTATATTTTTAAAGAATCCAAATACAATATGGGGCAAGGAGCAAAACTGGATAGGGGCTTTTAAAAGTGTTTTTGAATACATTTGAAAATGTTCATATATAAAATTGGAAGTATCTTGGCCAAGACACTTCCAATTTTATGTGGGAGAAAACCCGAACAACCAAAGACCTACATACAAACACCCACGAAAACCTCAGAAAACATATATACACACACACACACACACACACACACACACACACACACACACACTCTTCTGGAGAAAAAAACACTTTGGAATTTATATAAGCATATATATATGTTTTCTGAGGTTTTCGCGGGTGTTTGTATGTAGTCTTTGGTTGTTCGGGTTTTCTCCCGCGTAAAATTGGAATGTCTTGGCGACGTTTCGACGAAGTCCCATTCGTCATCTTCAGGCTGGTGTTTTCAGCTTCGTGCTTCGAGCAGCAATGTGATTCGTCACCAGCCTGAAGATGACGAATGGGACTTCGTCGAAACGTTGCCAAGACACTTCCAATTTTACGCGGGAGAAAACCCGAACAACCAAAGACCTACATATATATATATATATATATGCTTAATTCTGGAGAAAAAAACATACTTTGGAATTTGCAGTGCAGGAAATATTAATGTAAAATACTACAAAAATAAAAAAAATGCTTCCCAAATTTCCCATTCCTATGGGGCACAGAGGCATATTAACAAGTATCCTGTTGTGGACATTGCCCTCCATATTTTTCTTTCTTGTTTTAATTCTGTCAAAGCAGTTGTTTAAAGATATTCATCCCATCTTTTCCTTCATATTTAAGTAGCTCTTTTGTCTAAAGTTAGGAAATATATTCAGCTGAGATGAATATATAGTTTTCTTGCTACAATTATAATTTGAGCCTTCTTTTATATCACATCCATTAAATCTTCCCATCACCACCAATAACTTTTGATTAAATTGTAGCCTCAAATTTAATCGAGTGTCATGTATCCTTATCTCGAAAAAGATATTATTAGTTTGACAATGCTTCTTTTTCCTCTCTACTTACCATACTAGTGAGAAGAGTTTGTTTTTGTTTCTAAATAGAAAGATCAGAAGAAAATAGTTAAAGACAGTTAGGTGCATGATACATTTTCAGAAATCATGCTGCTGTCTTTTCCAAAGTAATTTGCTTAGGGCAAAAATAGACAGACTTCATAAATAACTGTTTCGAATACTGCCACAGGTTACAAATTTACCCATAATTATTTAGATCCATGTTTACCTAAAATCTGAAAATTGCTTAGACTTAAAGTTAAAGGTCATTTTAAGGATTTTATGCTGTTTACCAGGATTTTCATCCTTTTTTTCTTTTATTTTCAACAATAAATCAACATATTATAGCACCAATTGCTTTGAAATGTTCTAAATACTTTAAACTTGAGTTTTACTATTGTCCTTAAACATTAAACATAATTACCTGTAAAGCATGAAATGAGTTAAAATGAATATTTTGCAAAGAATATTAGCACCCCTCATCCAAGCAATAAATTAGTAGCATTCCTTGGAAGACTTGCACTACTTCTTGGAAGGTATTTTGCAATAGATTAAGTGTGCAAACACACTGTGGACACTGACAGCAAACCAACATGTTTGTAGCATTTGCAGGCAGAGGTCGGGGAGGAGCAAATAACTAAAACAATGTCCCAGCTTTGCAGTAGCAGCTCCATTCCTGTTCTGTGTTATATCATCAGATGCATAAACTAAAGCAGTTAGGGTTGTAGTATTATTTTCATCATTTTTAAAAAAGCATCAGAATCAGTGGTGGGATTCAAATATGTGACCAATTGGTTCTCTGTGTGGATGCCGTTTCCATTCTGGACCTGGGCAACAAAAAATTAACTACCAGTTCTACCGAACTGGTGTGAACTGGCTGAATCCCACCACTGATCAGAACTTGCATATGCACATATAGTATATGCACAAGCCTTTGAAGGCAGCATTCTTAAAAGATGTGGCTACTGTAACATTGCAAAAAAAAAAAAAAAAAAGGTCCTTTGTTTACATTAACAAACTTTGTGACAAATTCCTTTTGAATGCTTTCACAACCCTGGTATCAAATGTCTTGTGCTTTCTATAATCAACTATGTGAGACAGGATAAGTTATTTGCAGGATTAACTCTCCCTGAGGGTTTCTGCTCATCCTGTTAGGTTACGGTAGATAGAATGGATGTACTCCAGGTCTCTGTCCTTAAATGTTACTACCTGATGGGATCTCAGTGACTCCCCCTCAGTGACTCCCCTCAGCTCTTTGGACCTGATATCTGAGGGATCCCTACTCTTTTAGCCTTCTGGAGGTTGTGAAGACTGGGCTTTTCCCCCAGGCATTGGGCTAGGATGGGGATGAGCTATGAAGATGTTTTGCTTGGTGGGAAGGGTACTTTCATTTTTAACCATCTTTTTATGGATTGTTGAGAGCCTCCTAGAGTCATTACATCAGCTACAAGACCATATCAGTCCTGTAAATAAATTTACTCGCTTATATCTTCATAGGTAACTTTCAAAGCATCCAGATATTCAGTATCTCCAGATTTAAGATATGTTCTCCTTGCTTATGACATTAAACAGGTAAGCACAAATTGAAACATTACGTACTAAAATATATGCTATTAATTGTCTGAACAATGTTATAATGAAATAGCCTAGAATCTGAAATAAATATGCTTCAATACAGTTTACTGTTAATGAGTTGGAATCAGAACTGTATTTACATTTACTTTTTTGATTAAATTGGATTTGAGTAGTATTTGAACAAAAGGCATATATATAAGACTGTTCTGATAGAATCACTATTCTTAAATGTTTAAGGATAACCAGTGTCTTTAAAACAATGTAACTTTGTAAAGTAAAAGTCTGACAAAGATCAGCAATCAAGAAACTTACTTTAGAAATAAAAGGTAAATGAGAATTGGGTATATCAGATCAGGAAGATTAGTAAAAGCTTAAATAAAATAATTTAATTATATAAAGTAAGTGGTATAGGATAAAATCTTAACACATTCCCATGCTTAGGATTTGGCCTTGAGTTGATAAAGGATCCTTTAGTAGTTTGCCCTCCCATTTTAGGAGAAGTACTAACTGCTGATTTCCAATTTTATATCTAGTTGGTTCTGACAGAAATGATGGTTATCATGATGATGGTGATGGTGATGATGATTTTCTGATTTATCGAATTCATCATTTGCTACAAAAGTATTGTATCATAAATGTTTAGGGTTCTTTTAAAAAAAAAAAAACCACAAGAACTGCCTGTTTGTTTTGGAATGATCATTCAAGCTACTTTCCTGGAATGAATTTGCATGCATACATAAACAAATCAGTAATGTGATGTGCTTAAAGTAAGAACATGTGCATTTTGCTTTAAAACATTATATCATTACAAATTCAACTTATAATTTGTTCTAATAAAACTCTATTGGATTGAATACTGAGAATTTTAATGAAAATAGCACGGAGCCTAAAATGAGTGCCATGATTGCTTTGCAAGCATTGTCATTCTTGGCACTATTCATTCACTCTTCCACAATTCACATGCTAGTGGATTGCACGAGATTACATTGCCATTGTTACTATTGCTTAGGAGAAAAGAAGAGCAAAAAGCTGACTTATGATTTTTCAATTGTCTTCTTAGTTATGTTCTCTTTCACCAGTTTCTGAAAAAGTTTTAGAATGGTATAGAGTTTTTATGCATCCAAGATATTTTGATTATCACAAAATCAGGAAAAGAATTCAGAAGGTATGAGATTGGATCCAGTCTAGGTTTTAACAAAGAACATGAAAGCTCTCTTTATAATGACTTTATGGGCTCACCATGCAGTTTCCTGGAAAATAATGCAGAAGTGATTTGCTGCTTCCTTCTTTCAGAATTTTTTTTACTCCTGTAAAAATAAAATTTATACATTTTCAATATTGCTTTCACAGATATATCTGTCTTGTGTCTGCTATTCTTAGATAATTTTAAATACATGACCAGTTACTTACATTTGTCTGAAATGGTATAGGATTTCCTGCCTAAGTGGGAGGTTGGACTAGAAGACCTCCAAGGTCCCTTCTAGATTTTATTCCATTCCATTCCATTCCATTCTATTCTATTCTATTCTATTCTATTCTATTCTATTCTATTCTATTCTATTCTATTCTACATGATGTGTTAATAAACAATGAACTTGAAACTATTACTACAGTTCTTAGTTTTTGAAGTCTTCTGAATGAATAGATCTAGCTGCTGGAATTACAGTTAAGAAATCAACTTTCAGGGCAGATAGCTAGGGTTTGCAACAGAAGTTCTCATTGTGAAATATTTCTCTTAAAAGCTCTAGCAATTCCATATGATATATATCCTCTTTGTGCGCCACTGCCTTCAGCCAGTTTCTTACTATTTATTAAATTATGTACTGCATTTCAGTCCTGAGGGCACTTGCGCAGTTATTCCACTCCATTTATTGCACATATTGTATCTGCTTAAGTTTTGTTTATTTCTTTTATTTCCTAAAACTTGAATTCTTTCAGAAAATAGGAAAATGTTCATGGACACTTTTTGTTAATTGATGTATACCCTTCTCCCATTCCACCCATTCCATTGTACCTGTTCAATCCAATTTAGACTTTCCTTCCTTTTAAAGAAAAGGAAAAACATATAGGGAAATCCAAGAAAACAACACTTATGCTATATATTGCATAGCTTGCCCCTCACTCAACCATTTGTTTTTATTGGTTAATTGATGGATTTATTGATTGAATTACTTGCAAAGTACAGATTATTTTTTAATGGAACTTGCCAGTAATGAAATGCTTTAGAAAACTCCAAAATATCCTATTGCCATTCCAGATCATACTGATCTAACAGTTTCAGGAGTAAATTTACAGAAATTAATCTTCCAAACTGAAACTGAAAGTAATTCAGAATCTTCCAGAAATAGACATGCTCTGAAGAACAGGCTATTTAATTTGGTACTCCATATATGGAATACCATACATTACTCTGGTTTGGAGTTTTAATTTCAGAAAATAATTGGATTAGTCTGAGAATGGAATAAGGAAGGCAGCTCTACTTAGTGTTAGGCTGTATATATACCTGTTTGAGTTCTTTCACTTCACTCTTATGGATAAATGAAACAAGTATAGTCCCACAATAATCACAATCACATTCACATTACATATTCAAGGATTTTTTTTTAAAAAAAAAATCTGAATGAATTTTTAAAAATCCATGTGTCTCTTTGCCACATGTCTCCCTCTCACCTAGTAATTTGATTTTCTTTCACTTTGTATCTGAAATTTCTGCATGAATATACTTTGGAGTTACTTTGACCTATAAATATATGTTATTTATCAGTTCTTATCACTATATAATCATGAACACAGTAAGAAATAAATATTAGAAGAATTATGATCTTTGATTTTTTTAAGCCAAAAGCTTAAAAAGCTTACATGAATGATAAATTCTATAAAACACACCTCCTAAACTAAGTTATTGACAGAACAAACATTTATTTCCAGACATAATGAAAAGTACATGAAGAATGCTTTCTTAAATACCTTTATTTGAAGAACATTTGAGAAAAATTTTAGAATCCAATGATTACTGTTGAATTATAGTGTTCAAGTTCAACACTTCTAAAGTACAGAACTTATTTGAATGTCAGAATAAATTGTTTATAGATGATTTCTTACAGACACTATTTATAAGTAGTTCAGATTTGTCCACTGTCCTATAAAGTTTTATTCAGTAGATAACCTGCTGATCAGCTTTGTCATAGAACAGACATTCAAATTGTATAAAGATTTATAAAACCAAACAAAGAGTCTTAAATACTTCCTTCCTTGCATGTGAGAAATGGCAGCATTAGTTCTCACTTTTCTTGTATTGTAGCATTGAAATTTTAGAGAGAATTTGCAACTGGAGATTTGGGGTGTGTTTTTGGAAAAATAATTTAGGTAAATAGTCACTTTGTATTCTTTCTGTAGCATGAGTCACAAAACTAAATATATTTTATAAAAGTACTTATTAACTCTTAGTTTATTCAAAACAAGGTTTCATCTGCTGTTGTATGCAAAAAAAATATTGATCCTTATAGATCCTGATTTTTTTTCCTGGGGAATCAGTAGTCAAACAATATTGGCTTGGGGCCTGAGGATTCACGCTTCATGGATGCAATTGTAAGAATCTGTGAATACATTTTAGTGTCATCATTTGATTCTTGCAGTCATGAAAAGAGTTTGGTCAATATAAGATTTTCAGTGGCAACAGAATAATTTCATTAAATAATTAAATGATTACTGACATTAATGTGTGACAACTTCCATAAATGAGAATTGATCCTTATTTGTAATGTTGAAAGAAGGTATTCAGTGTGCCAATTAACATTTCACTGAATGTACAATAAAATTTGGGCAGATTACTCTTAAATCTGATGCCCATTAAGATATATATGCTTCTCAATCAGAGTTAGTGATTTAGCAGCTTCATTAATACACATGGATCAAGCTAAGCTTGCTCTTGTAGTTCTGCTTTTCTATCCATATGCATTCATTTGAGTGCTTGATTTAAAGATTAGTTTTTCAGAATGTAATTTCCTGAAAGAACTGAAACAATTTTATAGTTAAAAACAGAAAACAAATTAGAAGGGGAGTCAGGAGGGATGGGTGTTTAAAGATTTAGGTTTTAAACACAGAGGAAGGCAATATAGAATTTTCATTCATTTAAAATTCATATTTAAAATGCAAAGTGATTGTATTTACTGCGAGAAAATATGCCGGTATTTGTATTGCAACATTCCCTTTGTTATGTTTAGTATTCGTATAGTTTAATGAAAAGAGCCAATGGTTCAAAGCATCTGGATAAAAACCAGGAGACTGAGTTCTAGTCCTACCTTTGGCATGAAGCTGGCTTTGTGCCAGCTATACTCACTCAGTTCTAGGGAAAAGGCACTGGCAAGCCACTTGCAAAAATAGATGCATGAATTTCTCTAAGCAGTCATCTAAAGACTGGCTTTAAAGGCATTAAAAAGAAGCAACTTTATTGATATTTAGTTTATCTAATATTGCAGCCAGATTTGGAATAGGCTTTTAATTTTTGCTCTATTCACTAAACATATTATACAAATTATCTCCTGCTTACCAGTTGAACAAGAATCCTGATAAATTGATCTCTTTCCATATCTTATTACAAAGTTCTAAAAATAATTTTATGCAGATGACTAAAGGCAGCATATGTTAAAATTAAAATTACATATTTAAGACAAATCTGAAATTCTCCAAAACATCCTGCTCTTTTCTATAATGTAGTACTGAATATTGGATATCACACAGTGGATAACATCACTGTGCATATGAAGCTTTCTATGCAAGTCTTTTATCCTGTTTTATTCAATCATCATCTTTTTCTTTATTCATAGGCAAAAAACCCCACATAGCCTAGGAAGCAGATTTCACAGAAAGAACATACATTTTAATTTTTAATTTCATCTTCAAAACTTTTTAAAACATCCATTTTACAAAATGCTTTTTGAAACAGGCAATAATGTGTTGTAAATAAAATCTGTGGGAGATTAGTACCAGGAATATGC